TTGTCACCTGTGACATTGACACGATGCTCAGTTGGTACAAATGGGTCCAAAGTGTTCAAAGAAAATATCCCCCACACCATTACACCAACACCACTAGCCTGAACTGTTGTTTCGAGGCAGAATGGATCCACGCTTTCATGTTGTTGACACCAAATTCTGCCCCTACCATCCGAATATTGCTGCAGAAATCGAGACTCATCAGACCAGGCAACGTTTTTCCAAACTTCCATGTCCAATTTTGGTGAGCCTTTGTGAATTGTAGCCTCAGTTTCTTGCTCTTATCTGACAGGAGTGGCACCCGGTGTGGTCTTCTGCTGCTGTAGCCCATCTGCCTCAAGGTTGGACCTGTTGTGCGTTCAGAGATGCTCTTCTGCATACCTCTGCTGTAACGAGTGGTTATTTGAGTTACTATTGCCTTTCTATCAGCTGGAACTGAGTTGCTGCCATGTGATTGGCTGATTATAAATTTGTGTTAATGAACAGCTGGACAGGAGTGCCTAATAAAGTAACTGTTGAGTTTATATATGTTTGTATGTATGTGTGTATATATAGCACAATTTATACACAATAAAATGATTTAAGGTGCATTATGCACTGAAAATCCTTTAGCTCCTCTTTTAATGGTGTTATGCACTGTTGAAGGTGAAGTATCCAAATATCTTCATATTTTGTTTGAGGAATATTGCTTTTAAACATTTAATTAATTTTCTCATCACATATTTGTTGAAAAACTGGCGATCCTCTGCTATTTGCTCCTAAAGGACTAGACATTCGTTTTCTTGGATGCTGCTGATTTTGTACCAAATCATAAATACAATCACCTGTTGACATCACCTGCTTTAAATCACACCATTATTTACCAAATTTACCAGGTTACCAGCCCTAAACTGCTCCTGTCACAACTTTTTTTTGGAATGTGTTGCAGGCTTAATGATGTATATTTACAAATGAAATATTTTGTGTTCATATTGTCATTTAGGGCCCTATCATGCACCCGGCGCAATGTGGCGCAAGGCGCAGCGCAATACTTGTTTGCTAGTTTCAGCTTGGCGCAAGAGTCGTTTTGAGGCGTTACGCGCTACGCTGTTTAAATAGCAAATGCATTAGCGCTCATATGTGCGCCCATAGGCGTTCTGGTCTAAAAAGGAAGGCGTTCTGAGGCGCACTGCTGGCGCGTCGCTATTTTAAGAAATTATAAAATAGTTGTTATTATTATAATTAGCAGTATTATTTATTATATCCATATTTATATTTGTTTTATTAAAAACAGGCTTAGATTTGCCCACCTGTCAGGTTTTAGACCATATGGGGCACAGCATGTGTTTTAGGATATAACTCAGGTTTTTGAACACACTTCATTATTATTATTCATTTATTCGTATGCTGGAAATTAGAACTGAATTTAGAAATAGTTTTGAAACGAATATTTGCGCTTAACAAATGCAATTAATTATTTATAGACTAATTGATGTCTGTGCGTAAAGGTTTCCTTATCCAAGAGCGAAAGTGAAAGTAGATCCATTATCTCTCATTCTAACGCAGTAGATGCTCTGTTTAACAGTTTTCTGTTAAAAAAAACTGTTAACTGTAAACTGTTTGCTAGTGAAATGCTCAGTTTTTCCACTTAGACTTACTTTGCGTCCTGTAAATAGCGAATGCGCTCTTGGCGCGATGCAGCTGGCTCTTAAAGGGAATGGGAGATGAAACTCTAATTGGTTTATTCTCAAAACACGCCTATAACTCATTAAGAAAATAAACTCAACCCATTTAGACCATGCGCCATGGCGCAAAGCAGATTTTCCTGTCCGTAAATTAGCAAAAATGCGTTCTGACATGCCCTGAAAGCGTTTGTGCCCTGCGTTTTGCGTTTTGCGCTCTGCGCATGGACCGTCAAAATGGAGCCCTTTGTCTGCGATGAAATACAAGTCAAAGTAAATGTTCTTTTTTTTTTTTTTCTGCGTTTTTCATATACTGTCCCAACTTTTTCTGATTCAGGGTTGCATTTACTAACATGAACGAAGTATGAATGATACTTGTACAGCATTTAATAATCATAGTTCAATATTTACCAATGCCTTATCACAATCAGGCTCGTTAACATTAGTTAATGCTCTGAGTTGACATAAACTAGCAAAGAACAACTGCATTTTCATTAATATATTGTTCATTGTTTGTTTATGTTAGTAAATAAATTAACTAACAATAATTAATACAGCCCTAAAGTGATACCAGTAACTTTGCTATTACACATAAATTTTAAAGAAATTGAAATCTCACAATTGTCAGTACTTAAAAAGGATGGGACAACTAGTTAAAAAAACAACTAGTAAAAAGGCTTAAAAATTATGAAAAACAATGAAACTTACAATAGATTAAAAAAATGAACAGAAGCACAGAAGTTCTTTCACGCTTTTGAAAAAATGTGAATTAATTCCAACACAATCTCACGGCAATTCGTAACTTTTTCATTTAGTGGCTAATTCGTATGAATTCGTACGATCTAATTCGTACAATTTAGTACGATTTGCTTATCCCCCAATGACGGTTGGGGTTAGGGGTGGGGTCAGGTGCCACGCCTCCTTTTTAAAATCGTACCATTTCGTTCGACTGAACTCGTACGAATTCGTACGAATTAGCCACTAAACTGGCAAAACGTAAAATACTTACGTTTTCTCGTGAGATCAGGCTGATTAATTCAGTGGAAAAAATTGCATTAAAACAACTTAATACTTTTTTTCTGTTAAACAAAAAGAGGTTCTGTAATCTGCAAGTTGCTTTAGGATAGCATGTTTAAACCTTTGCACATCACACTTACCAAATATTGATTCCTTTCAATGTGTGTGACATTGTCTGAAGTCACTTCCTCTTGAACTTCTTCTTTTCCTCTTTCTAAATTTCCCTTAATCCACTTTATCATTCTTGCCGTTCATTTATATGGTGCTAGATGCAATTTTATGTCTATGATGCCCTGTACAAGTGGGAACATTAAAGGAATTGTTCAGCTAAAAATGAGCTTTGATGCTTGAATGGTGTTTTTGTCACTGTATACTGGTTTGGAAAGACATGAGGGTGAGTGAAAATAATACTTTTGTTTCTTTTAAAGGGATAATTCACCCAAAAATATTTACTCACCCTTCACTTGTTGCAAACCTGTTGCAAACACAAAAGAAGATATTTTAAAGAGAGCTCAAAACCTGTAACCATTGGCTTCCATAGTATTTGTTTTTCCTCCTATGGATGTCAATAGTTACTAATTTCCAACATTCTTCAAAATATCTTCTTTTGCGTTGCATGGAATAAAAAACTCACAAACATTTATAACCAATTGAGGGTGAGTAAATGAGTACATTTTCTTTCTGGCGTGAACTATCCCTTTAAATTTACTGTTTGCCCTTTTGTATTTTGCAAGAAGGTCAGCCATTCGGGTGTATATGTTAAGAAAAAGCTGACGTAAGCTGAAAACCTGTAACCATTGACTTCCGTAATTGTTTTTCCTCTTATGGATGTCAGTGGTTACCGATTTCCAACATTCTTCAAAATATCTTCTTTTGCATTGAGCAGAATGAAGAAACACACAAACATTTATAACCAATTGAGGGGGAGTAATTTAGTACATTTTATTTTTTGGTGAACTTTGCCTTTAAATTCACCTGCTGTTGTATTTTAAAAGAACGTCTGATATTCTGTTTTATATGTTAAAAAAAAAAAAAAAACTGAAAATCTGAAACCATTGACTTTCGTATTTGTTTTTCCTCGTATGGCTGTCAATGGTTACTGATTTCCAACATTCTTCAAAATATCTTCTTTTGTGTTTCAACTGAATAAAGAAACTCACAAACATTTATAACTAATTGGGGGTGAGTAAATGAGTACATTTTCTTTCTGGCGTGAACTAGCCCTTTAAATTTACAGTTTGCTCTGCTGTATTTTGGAAGAACATCTGCCATTTCGTTTTATATGTTAGGAAAATGCTGAGGTAAGCTGAAATCCTGTTACCATTGACTTCCATAGAATTTGTTTTTCCTCCTTAGGATGTCAATGGTTACTAATTTCCAACATTCTTTAAAGTATCTTCTTTTGCATTAAATGAAATACAGAAACTCACAGACCTTTACAGTATAACCAATTGAGGATGGATAAATGACTACGTTTTAGGTTTTGGGTGAACTATCCCTTTAAATTCACCTGTTCTGTTCTATTTTGGAAGAACATCTGCTATTAGGTTTTATATGTTAGGAAAAAGCTGAGGTAAGCTGAAAACCTGTAACCATTGACTTCCATAGTATTTGTTTTTCTTCTCATGGATGTCAATGGTTACTGATTTGCAACATTCTTCAAAATATCTTCTTTTCTGTTGAACAGAATAAAGAAACTCACATTTACAACCAACTGAGGGCGAGTAAATGAGTACATTTTAATTATGGGGTGAACTATCCCTCTAAGTTTACCAGTTGTTCTGTTGTATTTTAGAAGAACGTCTGCCATTCTGGTTTATATTTTGGGGAAAAGCTGAGGGAAGCTGAAAAACCTGTAACCATTGACTTATATAATACTTGTTTTTCCTCGTATGGATGTCAATGGTTACTGATTTCCAACATTCTTCAAAATATCTTCTTTTGTGTTCCTACAAAATAAAGAAACTCACAAACATTTATAACCAATTAAGGATGAGAAAATGAGTATGTTTTAATTTTTGGGTGAACTATCACTTTAAATTCACCTGCTCTGTTGTATTTTGGAAGAACCCATTCTTCCAATGGGTGAAGAATTTCAAGAAAGCCATTCTGTTTTATATGATAGGAAGTAGGAGTCTCATTCTGTGAAGTCACTACTATTCTTTTAGTGCATCTTGTGCAATTGTTTTGCCTTCTTTTCTCTTGGGAGTCTTGTGTTCTTCTCATCTGTATCACAGAAATGTGGAAGTGGTAAATGAGAAGTATTTGTTTGCACGAGTGGCGTGTGTTTGCGGTCTGTAACTGGAGTGTTTGTGTGTGTTTCAGGGCAGTGATGCCGGGCATGGTACTGTTTCGGCGACGCTGGTCAGTCGGCAGTGATGACCTTGTGTTGCCGGCTTTCTTCCTGTTCGTACTACACTGCATATGGTGAGTCTGCAAGCTTGTTCTTCTATAGGCTCTTTGTGTTTGTGTGTATTTACATTGAAAGTCTTTCAATGTAATTTCAATTCAATGTAATGTTCAATTTCAAGAAACATGCTAACTGAACATTCTTGTTCATCTGAAAAAAGTGCTGAAGTCAGATATTCTGCCTTGAAAACGTGTTACGTGCCTGAACGACTGTTTTTTTTTTTTTTTTTTTTGCCATTTAAACCGCTCAATGCCAGTTTAGCCAATTATATTTTCAGCACGGGTTGCCTTTGTATAAAACGGCGTATTCCATTCATTCAGTAAGGAGGGCATCTTGCATTGTAACTCCATGTCCAAACAACACGCTAATTGACGAGATTTGCAGTAATTAGCAATTTGCCTGTTTGCACTACACGATACATGACAGAAATTTAAATACAGCCATTCAGAAGCACAGAATAGTGCACTCACTGCATTTCAACGAATATATGTATATATATATATATATATATATATATATATATATATATATATATATATATACATATATTCGTTGAAAAATATCTAGTAAAATATTATTTACCGTCATCATGGCAAAGATAAAATAAATATTATTATTAGAAATATTAAATATTAATTATAATGTTATTAGAAATGAGTTATTAAAACTATTATGAAATGGGGGGGGGGGGGGACTAATAAGTCAGGGGAGGCATAATTCTGACTTAAAGTTGAAGTTAGAATTATTAGCCCCCCTAATTTTTTTTTTCTTCAGGTTATGGTAATTAGGCAAGTTATTGTATAACAGTGATTTGTTCTGTAGACTATCAGAAACAATTTTTGCTTAAAGGGGCTAATTTATTTTTTATTATATATGTATATATATATATATATATATATATATATATATATATATATATATATATGTATATGTGTGTGTGTATATATATATATATATATATATATATATATATATATATGTGTATATATATGTGTATATATGTGTATATATATATATATATATATATATATATATATATATATATATATATATATATATATATATACATATATATATATATATACATATATATATATGTAACCCAGTAGAATGAAGTTCTACAAGTTAAGTTTTAAAGTAATCTTAAGGTTATTTATTTATTTATTCATATTGGTTCTAGAACAGAATTAAATCTAAAATGTGTTTTGCATTCATTTGTGAATATACATCCTAATGTTGATGTGTAATATATGAGCGTCTATCTCTGAGAATATGATAAGATAGCAAGTTTGATCAACCTTCACTGAAATACATGGGGTTAACAAGTTTGGTAGGTGTTCCTACATGATTGGTTTATATGCGTGTAGTCCCGCCCTCTGGTGTGGAGGGTGAAATGTGATTGGCTGTTGGGAAGAGAGAAGGGAGAGAGGAGACACAGCCGGCAGTTTTGGAAACTGAAGGGGAGACTCGCGTCGCGGCTGTTATGATTGCGTAACATTCACGGAGAATAAAAAACAAGAGATAGTAATAGATATTGCGTGTGAACAACATGTTTTTGATTACTTTGAGTTTGTTTTGTGTTTGTTTTAAGTTCGCGGTGTGTTTTCATCATATAAGTTTCCAGTGTCAGTTATTGGTCAGTTCAGAGTGAGTGAGCATTTTTTAAATGCCTAGATTGTCAACTGACAGTTACGGAGGACTAAAGCTGAACTGAGAGAGAGACGGTTAAACTGAAAATAAGGAGGAGAAAAAAGAGACTGTTAGATTAGTATGAAACAAGGATGAAAGAGTCAAAGAGGAGCAAATAGCACCACAAATAACCTGAATACTACGTGAGATTTGCCTCTCATCAGCTGGGGAGGAAAAGTGAAAGTGAGGATTTGAAAGACCCGCGGCAGAAGTTCGCCGATCGATCGCGGCTCGTTGGCCCGTTGTTCACAAGTGTTGTCAGTTTGGAGAACTGTCATATATTGCTGTCATCTGGATCGCTGTCATTTGGATTGCTGTCATCTGGATCGCTGTCAACTGGATCGCGGTCATCTGGATCGCTGTCAACTGGATCGCTGTCATCTGGATCGCTGGCATCTGGTTTGCTGTCATCTGGATCAAGGTCATCTTCATCTGAGGTATCTTGTTTAATTTTATTTGTGCTCAGGAGAGTGAAGAGGCCATTTTCATTTTCCCGGCCACAACGTACACTAGCAGCGATACAGGCCTGCAACGGGGGGTGTATGAATGTGTGAGTGTGTGGGCCCACAGAGTATTGAGTTGTTTATGGAGATGCAGTGAGCATAAAATACTGCTGCGTGTTTTACGGTATAGATTTATACTAATAGTTTATATAGGTTTAATTCAGTGTGTAATTTAGTGACACAATTGTAGCCACTTCCAAAGAGAAACATATTCAGTCACTCTTAGTCACTTGTTGATTTATAAGTTTAATTGTTAGAGTGTAGAAAGGTGGTATTTTTCTATATTGGTTTAATTAATATTCTTCATTGTACTGTAAATTGCTGGGTTTGACTTTGGGTCATTTTACTGTCTTTTAGCTGTGCATAAATTCTATATTTGTATTTTGTTTTACATCTGGGGTTTTTCCCAATATTTACATTTCTATTCTAATTAAATTATTTATATTTTCTGATTTATCTAAGAGTTTTATTATTGAAAGAGTTTATTTCTAGTAATTTATTAAAACACAGCAAATATTTGTATTCTCATCTGACTTATTTACATTACGTCATTGAAATATATCAGAGGGGCCTACTTCAACATATTTGTAGGCGTTTAGTGTATTGAACCTGGAGCGCTATCTTAAACTTAATACACCTAGGTGGCGCTACATAAAGTGGGGGCTCGTCCGGGATCTCCCTCTGATACATCAATGATAAGTTCATAAAGAAAGAAGAGACAAGTTAAATTATCTGAATCCAAGCACCTACTGTCTTCTATTCAAAAGTTCATAAACTGTCGCTATGGCTTTGAGAAAGGACCCCAGTCTTCAAGCAGAGTTAACAAAATGGTGTAAAGCAGCCAGTATTGATTCTACTCATGCTTTAATCCTGTTAAATGTACCTGTTTACACAGAAGTGGCAGAGATTGAAGATGTAATGGAAACTGTCAAAGCTCTGGGAAGGGTTCGAGTGAGGGACACAAGAGAAGGACCTACTGCCCAGTCTATGATGGTTCTATGTGAGTGCCGACAAGCCACTGACTCCACCCGTATTCCTCCTGAAGTGACAAGGGGGGAAAAGAGTGAGCCCTGGTCAGTTATCGTGATTCAACCAAGTGAAAGTGCCTCTAATACAGATGCTGAAGGATTCTCTGAAAAGCTGACAAAGTTCCTGATGGAGGAAGGGAAAACTTTCAGTGACGTAAAAGCTTTAATTACACCCCACAGTGCTGGTGATAGTTCTCCTGAATCAATTATACGTGCAATGGGTGAAGTACTGGAAAAGACCATAAAGCCAACAAGTGATGGAAATGCATACCGACGACTTCGGACATTTTCAGCCATTGTTCCAACCCCAATTGGAGAGGAAAACATGGATAACTGGATAGATCAAGCAAGGCTCATGATAACTGAGTGTGACTGTACTGAAAAAGAAAAACGACGCAGAATCATGGAAAGCCTTAAAGGACCAGCAATGGAAATAGTGAGAGCTGTTCGTTTCTCAAATCCAGAAGCAGGTGCTTTAGAGTATGTGGAAGCATTAGAGAGTTCCTTTGGATCTTCAGAGTCTGGTGAAGATCTGTATTTTAAGTTTCGACTTATGCGTCAAAATGCAGGGGAGGCATTATCAGAGTTTCTGAGGAGAATTGACAAAGCTCTAAAAAAAGTGGTGGAAAGAAATGGCCTGTCTTTCAGAATGGCCGATAAAGTGCGAGTAGAACAACTCATTCGAGGGGCAGTGAATTCTGATCTCATGTTGCTACAGTTGAGGCTTCGAGAACGTACAGCATGCCCACCTTCTTTCCTGAGTCTGCTGAAGGAAATACGTGAGGCAGAAGAGAGTGAAGCTTCTCGCCACAGAATGTCAGCTAAAGCCAAATCCATACAGCATTGTGATGAAACCACAAGCACATCTGTCATTCAAGAACTCAAAGGAGAGATTCAAGAGCTGCGTGCACACTTATGTGGAGTCATGCCCAAAACTGTTTCTACTTCTTCTTTGGTGGTTAAATCCAGAGAGAAACCTAACCAGATGGAAAAAACAGAAGATGTAGAAGTTCAAGAGTTAAAGAAACAAGTTCAGTACTTACAACAACAGTTGGCAGTTATGAGTGTCAGTCCTTCTCAGGGCTCACTAGAGGTTACAGAACAACGGCCAAAACCATCACAGTCCACTTCATCATCATTTAGCCGAAAGTCAACCAGAACAAAAGATGATTATTTCTGTTACAAATGTGGACAAGACGGTCATATTGCGACAAAATGTCAAGCCCCACAAAATTCAGACCAAGTAATCCAGAAGCTAATTCGTTCTTTGCGGCAAGCTAAGAGTTTTAAGTCCGAGGCTAATGAAAGCAGAAAAACCCAGAACCAAGTTTGTTTCTCTAAAAAGAGTCAGACAGACATAAACAAAGCCAGCAGTATTCCAAAAGGCCTAGTTGGACCAGCATCAACAGTAGAAGTGACAATTAATGGACATTTATGTCAAGCCCTGTTAGACAGTGGATCACAAGTGACAATAGTGTTTGAGAGTTGGTACTCTAAGAATTTAAATTATGTACCGATTCACCCCTTGACTGGATTATCCATATGGGGCCTCAGTTCGTCCAGTTATCCTTATAAGGGATATATAGTAGTGGATGTCACTTTCCCGTTCTCAGTCAGTGGAGTAAAGGAGCCGCTGTCCATCTTGGCTCTCGTATGTCCTGAACCTCAAGGGCCCTCCCAGTTACCAGTCATTATTGGAACAAACGCCAGTTTCTTCCAGCGCCTTGCTACTCTCAGTCATGATGTAAAATCATCCAGCACTGCACAAGCTTTAAGAATTCATACTAACCTTCCTGA